GAGCGAAACGGTCACTCCGGGGAGAGGAGTTACAGGGGGAGAGGCCAGGGCACCGTTAATCTGAATGGGAATGAGAGACAGAAGGAAAGTAGAAAGAGTCAGCAGAGAGAAAAGCACATGTTCTCCACTGTGATGTTCTCAAAGGCTCTTTTTTCTGTACTTTGCACCTAGTGTAGAATGAAGAAGAATATTCTGGGGCACAAACATTTCTAGACACGATGGTCTGCAAAGTATAAACTAAAGCCATGTGTGGATCATTTCTCAGCTGTTAAAAAGCACTGAAAGTTATGCAGTATGGACTGCTGAAAACCACTCAAGGCAGGAGAGGGTTGGCATGCTGCCTGTACAGAGAGGTGCCCTGAGAAACAGAGAGGAAAAGCGGGTCACCCAGGCCCAGATGGTAATCCGGACACTTGATTCCAAGATGTTAATTCAAATGACTGGGCAGTGACAAGGAGTCTAAGATATCACAGAGTCTATTTCTTGTAACAAGCTGACAGCTTAAGGAGCTGACTCTAGGCTGGTTAAAGCAGATTCCCATGAGCTGACATGCACACAGGGGCTACAGTCTGGATTACGACGAGAAAGACACTTACGTAGACGATCCTGTTCTTCCGGAGAGCAATGTGGACGCCCTGCAGGGTGAGAGCGACGGAGTTAATGGCTGTCCAGCTGGGGTTGCCCCTGTGCTCATTTCGGGTGGTAAGCTTAAAGCCGCCGGAGGAGTTATTGCAGGTCTCCACCACGGTGTAGTTGCAGGCCCCCTGGAAGTGGTGAAGTTTCCCATCGAAGGTGGTGTAGTGGGGGTCGCCGTAGATGTGGCAGGTAGCGGTGCTTGGTGGATAACACCCCCGCAGGCCGTTTTGAATCTTGCAGATCTCATGTGGCTGACAAGACAGCGCGCTGCACGTCATGTTGCCATTTCCCAGACACTGGCACCGGCTGGTGCAGTCCTCGGTCACCACGCTCTCTCCTTCCTGCGGGGAGACACACGCAAGAAATACAAAAAGGAACGCCGTCAAAGGGGGTGATGCTGACAGATCAGTCTCCTGCCAGCGTCCTGAAGTCAGCGGGGTCACTCACACTGTAGTACCGGTCCTGGAACACACAGCCGCACTTGCCCACCGGCACACAGGTGCCTCCGCTGAGGACGAACCCAGAATTACACGCGCATCCCTCCACACAGGGCTTGCTGCAGTTCTCAGGAGCAAGGCGGTCCAGACAGGTGGCAGGGCAGGCAGTCATACAAGGCTCATAGTGGCTGTTGGAATCGCGACACGTGGGAGCTGAAAGGGTAAGAGGGGGAGGGGAATTACTACCAAGAAAGACAGCTTGGGAACACACCCCACCCGGAGAGAAATGCGGTGACAAGGTATAAGGAGGTGGGTCGGCTCCCCTATGACCCAGATGGGATGGCCACCCTAATGGAACCCAGACTCACAGGAGCTCCAAGCCCCAACAGGTGCTCCATTGTCTGAAGACCCGGGAGACCTGCTGCCAAGCCTGGTATGGCCAGAAAGGGAGTTTGTAAGTAGCCCTGCGGTGGCCGACCCTGGTATGGCTGAAACAGAACCTGGGCTTTGACAACTTGTGGTGAGGCGGGCAGCCTTCCTCTGTCCCGGAACAAAATCGGGGCCCCGACCTGATGTAGCACACAAGGGCTCTTCTTTCATCATCACTCTGAAGAATTAATTTGGGAGCTGCCAAATTCCGGATGCTCCGCGTTTGCTACTCACGGCAGAAGGTGGCATTTCTCCACTGGGAGAGCATGACTCCAGCGGTCTGACACGCGTCGGCGTAGGCCTCCAGAGTTCTGCACAGGACCCCCTCACTCCCGTTTAGGGCGCAGAGGTCATAGACACAGCTCTCAAAGAAGCTCTCAGGGTTGATCACGGAGTGGCAGGCTGCGAAGGGCCCCAGCCTTTTAGTTATGAGGCCACAGTATCTGTCCGTTTTGTAGAGGTTCTCCTTCTCCACAGGGCAGATATCTGGTGGAACGGGGTCATCGCAAGAGGGATCGTCGTCTCTTATGCGCCAGCTGTTTCCCAGCTCATTGGAATTCTTGGCTTGCTGCCCGTCGGGCATCATGTAGTCATCGTCTCTCCGATTGTTAAAGTTACCGCACATGCCACAGGTGCTGTTGAAATAGGTGGTGGGCACCCTCACTTCCACCGAGTGATCGGTGTCATAGGAAACCCGCAGTCTGAAATCCGTCTCTAGGGTGACGTATCGTCCACTCCTGCTCACTGTGATTGAGCCACCAGCGGCGCTTACGGGAAGGGTCATTAGCACCTTGTTGACCTAATGGGAAACAGAAGGAAAAGTACCATGTGATTTCCACAGAGGGAGGCCCTAGGAAGAAATTGGAAACGGAATGGGTGCATTCCCTGCAAATGATTCTATGTGAATCAGTGACATAACTTTCCAGATAGTTTCTAGCTCGGAGCAAGTTGCCCGGATGTAACATGGAAACCTCAGTAAGGCTCCTGGTGTCTCCTGCGGACGGTCTCTTCAGACCGTCTCGATACAAAGTTTGAAAGTCCAAGAGTCATGGATTGCTATTCCATGGCTCAGAGTGAGAAAGGGTCACTTCTACAGAAGGACCCAGAGCCAAGCTCCATCCTAATTTGCTATCCCCCTCCCAAGGGGATGCTCCTTACCAGCACTTGGCTTGGATGATTCTTGAGAATTTCTATGTGTTCTCCATAAACCTCCACCAGGACTTTCTGCACGTAGGACACCGTGGGGTTCCCTCGATGCTCGTTCTTGGCTTCGATGTTGAAATAAGGCAGAGAGCTGGAGTTGACGCATTCTTTGGCCAGCGTGTAGGTGCAGATCCCCATGAAGTGGTGAGTCTCTCTGTCAAAGGTGTTGTAATGGGGATCGTTGTGCACTCGGCAGATCCCGTAAGTCTCGGGGTAGCAGCCAGGTTCTCCGTTCTGAACCCCACAGTAATGGTCACTTGGGCAGGAAGCGCTGGAGCACGTTACTTTGCTCCCCTGAGATGGACACCTGCATTTAGAGGAGCAGGTGTCATCTGTCCAGAATTCGGCACCAACCGGGTAGTGTTTGCCATTGTGCCAGCACCCACACTGGCTGCTGGGGACACAGCCATCGTTGTAGAGAAGATAGCCACTGTCGCACACGCATCCTTCCACACACGGCTGGCTGCAGCTGGCAGGAGCCCTTGGGTTGGCACAGGTGGCAGGGCAGGCTGCCGTGCATGCTTCATAGTGACTGTTGGGTTGACAGAGAATTGCTGGAGAAACAAAAGCATTGTCATTAGACCAGAAGGGGTTGGAATAATCACATGGCAAGGAACTCATATGCAGTGTGAGGACATGCTCTTTTCAGGCCTCCTTAGGTGCAGCATCAGCTGCGTCAATCGATTCCTTTTTGGTGTCTCTGAAAAGGAGACTCACAAGGCTCTGGTGCATCTACAGAAGAGCCCGATGCACAATCCCCCTCAAAGAACGAGTTAGCACATGCGAGGCTTTCACGTTGTCCTGGTTCCAAACAATTTCCTGCCTTGAGCCAGGGAAGTCATTCCAAAGCCATGCAAGAAATCACAGTGGCAAAGCTCTCGGGTACTTGTACTTACGACAGAAGGTAGCATTCCTCCAGGAATCTATCTGAGCGCCACCTGCGCGACAGGCATCTGCATAAGCTTGCAGGCTCTTGCAGAGAGAGTCGGGATCCATTTGCAATTCACATTGGTCATAAAAGCAGCTGCTGAAGTAACTGTTGGGGTCTAGCTTGGGGTGGCACTTCCTAAATGGGCCATTCACATCTGTCAGGAGACCGCAGAAAGCACCGCTGGCAATGATTTGCTTATCGCTGTCGTCGCACACTGGATCGTGGCCTGGTGCTGGAGGACAACTGAGAGAAAGGAGAGAAGTCCACGGTTTGTTGGGTGGCTTTCCCTTGACATTCCATACCTCTCCGAGAACTGCAGATCTGCCACGAGAGCTACAAACCTGGTGTGGTTGGAGACCTGCCAGCTGTTGCCAAGGCTGGTAGAGTCTGGCTCCAAGGCCCCGTCTGGATTCAGAAAGTCGTCTGTGGCGTTCCCGTTGTAATTCCCACACATCCCACACACCTTCCCTTCAAAGGAGCCGGGAAGGGTCACTTCCACTCGATGGTCCCCATCAAACTTCACGGTCAACCCGAAGTCTGTGCTGACGACGACATAAAGCCCACTGGAGGAGATTTGCACACCCGGCGATGGTGCGAAGGGGATGATAATGTCTCCCTCTCCATTGACCTGGACATCGGAAAGGTTAGACATGCTGGTAAGTCTTCGGTCATCCAAGGGCATTCTCAGCAACTGCTCCAACCCCAGCCTGCACCTACCTTCACGGCTCTCCCCTTCTCTAGTGTTATCCGGAGGCCATAAACATCGACGTTCACAGACCGGACGTAGGAGACGTGAGTGTTGCCTCCTCTGTGCTCGTTCTCTGCTTCCACGTTGAAGTTGGGCAGCGTGCTGTTTGCATCACACAGCTTGGACAACGTGTAGGCGCAGGTCCCCATGAAATGATGGGTTTGTTTATCAAAGGTGTAGTAGTGAGGGTCCCCGGCCACCACGCAGGACTCTGGGGAGGCAAAGCTCAGTCAATCACACCTTTAGTTCATTCACCATCCAACAGCCATGAACATTGGAGTACTTACTATTGCATCTCCTGCATGGGCTTCCAGACAGGAATTAAACTATTAATCTAGCAAGACAAGATTGGAAAGGGGAAACTATAGCAGGGTTCAAAAAGAACTAGAGAAGTTCATGGGCTATCAATGGCTATTAGCCATGACGGGCAGGTATGGTGTCCCTATCCTGTGTCTCCCAGAAGGAGGTAGTGGGTGGCAAGGTGGATCACTGATTCCCCGTTCTGTTCATTCCCTCTGGGGCACCTGGCATTGGCCACTTTTGGTAGACTAGAGACTGGTCTAGGTAGTTCTTTGGTCTGACCCAATATGGACCTGCTTATGTTCTTATCTGTGTTTTTATGTTGAGATAGATGAGGTAATATATCATATCTGATCAACTTCTGTTGGTGAGAGAGACAAAATATTGAGTGCACACTGAGCTCCCTTCGAATTTCCCAGAGCAGCCAAGAGTGTCACTGCAGAATAGAAGGTGAAATGTCCAACACTTGTCTATTATCATCATATCTTAGTCTAATAACAGATATTACCTCACCCACCTTGTCTCTCTAATATCCTAGGATCAAGATGGCCAGAAGCACACTATTATTCCCATGGGGTACGTCTACACTACACACTTATTTCAAAATAAGCTGGAACAGTTATTCCGAAATAGCTTATTTTGAAATAGAACGTCTACACTGCACGGAAGCCTGAAAATTAGTCTGAATCAGCCTTCTGTAATGTAGACGTGCTATCTCGATTTAGAGCCCTGGGAGGCACTGGGGAGGAATAACTTAGAATGATCCGGAGGAGGGGCTATTTTGAAATAGCAGCAGTGGAGCATCGACACACGCCTTATTTCGAAATAGCTATTTTGGAGTAGGCATTATTCCACGTCGAGTGAGGTTTACAGATTTTGGAATAAGACGTCCGTTATTTCAAAATTATTTTGAAATACCAGAATAGCTGTGTAGATGCTCGAGTTTTTTTTCTGAAATCATGCTAGTTATCTTGAAATAAAGGTACAGGCAGTCCCCGGGTTACGTACAAGATAGGGACTATAGGTTTGTTCTTAAGTTGAATTTGTATGTAAGTCGGAACTGGCTCCAGATTCAGCCGCTGCTGCTGAAACTGACCAGTGGCTGACTATAAGAAGCTGGAGGCAGAATTGTTCTGCCCCCAGCTTCCTGGAATCAGCCACTGATCAGTTTCAACAGCGGCTGAATCTCGAGCCTGGGACA